GGAATAAAGACACAGACCTCTGCGTTTTCACTCAGGTAGATCCTCTTGGAGATGTTGTTGATGGTGGCGATCCACTGTTGGACGAAGCATCACAGATTCAGCGCAAGGACACAGCAGTTAACACAACGCAGAAGTAATGACAGAAAACCTTTCTTTACCTCCTCACAGTCTCTCCTGCTCTCCGCCTGCAGCGTCACAACTCTGACAGAAACAAAAAAGCTGAATTTAAACCAGAAACACCTGAAGACGGTGAGAGGATTGTTAGGAAGAGAAGCTCTCTCACTTTTTCCCATCGAAGGAAGTGACCTGAAAACAGAACCTGCGGTCGTCACAGTCGACGGCCATGACGGAGCTGTTGTCGAGGTCTGTGACCAGCCCGCCCGCCACCTCGCCGCGGCCCTGGTGCATCAGGTTTCCTCCCTGAGTGAAGAAGTACTGACGCTCCCATGACGACGACACCAGGCCCGTCTTACTGTGAGACACATGGGAGAGCTACGTTAACAAACAACAAATCAACGTAGGCTGTCGCGGTTTTTGTGACTGAAGAACTTATGGTCGACTTTAACAACAGATAACAGCGTCACTCAGTGGCATGCAATGGTTTTCAGAACAGTGTCTGTAGAAGGCTCTAGAAGAGGAACACAAAGATGACATAATATTGTACGATGACAGCTTTGGATTCATTAAAGGACAATTCTGCTTTTTAATCAGTCGTGGTTGTCTGTTGTTTGTCTCATTTATCAAATCACAAAAACCAGCAGCTAAAATATATGTGGCATTTTTTTTTTTACCTTTTACTATTATTCTTATTATTGTTATTATTTCTACTTGTTCTTTTTCTTTAATTTGATATTATACGTTTGGTGCTTTTATTAGTATCCTTTGGTGTTTGTTGTACTGACTCATATTGTTAATGTTTAATCATGCTAAACTATTTCTCCATTTTTTCTTTCCTGGTTTTCTTGAGTATCTTCTGTTTTTTGTAAAGCAATTTGTAAAATCTGTTTGTAAAAAGGTGCTATCTAAATATAAAGTTCATAAGTTAAGTAAAAAAACAACAATAACAGCAATGATAACTGTGCTTGCGCATGTCTCATCTACATAAACACCTCAGGTCAAGCACTTTCCTTTAAAATGCTTCGGTGACACTGCTGTTGGCAATAAGCCTGAACGAGGAGAAGACAGGAAGTGGAGGTCCTGACTAACACACATAATTTGGTAAATGTTCTAGTACAGAGGCTGTGTCTCCTGAGACAAAAGCAGCTGCAGATCAAAAAATAACTTAAGATATAAAACACCACAGAATGTCTGATCTGAAAAAATGGTCTAAATAACTGGTGAGGCATCACAGACAGGAGTCATCGCTGAGCCACGGCGAAGCACAGAGGAGGTTTCGTCATCACAAGTTACTTTACTGTCTGCTGATTGTTTTGAGCTGTGCAGCCTGTGAGTCAGAACTGCAAAACACAAATGATTTAATTCACCCCCCCACTGAGGGTAATGAAAACACGGAACTGACAATACTCATTGTGTCTGCACAGTGAGGGCCTTTGTATCAGCCTCTCCAAGCTAAGACGCTGAATCTACTGATCAACTACTCGCTGCTCTCAGCAGGAAGTTCCCTGTGATGCCTGTAGATGCTCTCTATACAGCTCATTCAAATCCTCCAGTAAGACAAGCTGTGGACGTACCTTTTGTATGATTTACGTCAATTAAAATATCTTAAACCATCTTTAATCAGGGACTGCACAGCCAGACCTCCACAGCACTGTTACATGGAGAATGATCTGACTGCACCTCATTAACATTCTGCTATAACTGAGAAAATTCTCTGCCTTGTCTTAAATTATTTTTATTTCTTCAAACCAGTTACAAATTTGTCTTAAGCAGTGTTCAGCCCAGGAGGCAGCACTGGTGCCCCAGTAAAGTAGAAATAGAAGAAATGATTTTGGTGGAACTTTTGCATGCAGTGACTTGAGCACAGACATTAAAATGCAGAATTTACTAAAAGAAGCTCAAACCATGGCATTTTCAGTGTGTAAGCTGCTGCGTTTGAACTGCTTTATTACAAGCTTTTTAACCACCTGCTGAGGCCTTTTAATTGCACTCACATGTACAAGACGTGCTAAAAATGTTTTTTATAAACTGATTTTTATGTGTTACATTACAACCTCATGTGGAAAATTCAAAGCTTTCCCACCTGCATGAAACAGAAATTTTAAATAAATTATAGAATGACACAATGGAAGCTTTAACGTGACCAATAAATGAATACACTGAAATGTGAGCGTGTTTGTGTGTCCTACTTGCGGATGTGCAGGTAGCCCTGCTTCCTGGTCAGGCTGCGACACACAGGTGAGTGGGCGGGGTCAGGGTCACATGGCACATACAGTGGGTCACATGACCTCTCCATCTGCTGGATGGTCTGCTGCATCTGCCCCACCTCCTCCTCCATCTCCCGACGAACACTGTGCAAACAGACACGTGTTAGTGCATGAATTTAGGATGTTGATTTAAACTGAGGACACTTCTGAGAGTAGGGTGGTGGCTGTGAGGTTCTTACTTCTGGACGCTGGTGCCTATAGTTCCCAGGAAGTCTTCCCACTGCTGAGTGAGATTCTCTGAGCCCAGTTTAAAGAAACTGATCTGCACGGAACAAAAATAGGAAAAAGCAAAGGGCTCTACTATGAAGCAACATCAGTGGGTTACTGAGGTATGTTGAGCTTAAAGCCAGACAAAGGTGGCTCTCCTTAAACCTGCCAGACGACCATGGAAACCTATGCAGCACAGCTAACCTGGTCCGGAGGAGGTTCTGTTCAGAGTTTTGTATTGAAATCAGCTGTAAAAAGTGTCTCCTTTTCACTAATTTGTATCCTGACTATTCTGTATGAGTGATACAGATTCTCAGCTGAGGGAATATGTTGTTTATCTGCAAACCTGTTGAGCTGTACATTACTAATACCACTGAATGAAGTTGTGTGCATGAACAGCATCATTAACTGTGTTGTGTTGCCATGGGAACCCACATGTAACATAAACGTGTTTTTATGTTTGGTCCCAATTTGCTGTCCAGTCCGTTTACACTGCAGCTGACAGAAAACAGATTAGAAAATGTATACGGCTTATACAGGCTGCGCTTAAACAGAGCAGATAAGAGACAAGTATGGAAATTTTCTTTACAAAATAGTAGTAAAAAGTTGTAAAATATTTGTAGTATGTAAAGCTACCATTTGTTTCAATGGGAACAAATTTTGCACATATTAATTCATTTTTTTCAGTTTATGTTAAACAATCAAACAAATGTAACTTTAGTTTTCTTTCTTTTTTATGATTTATGGCATCATAACCTTGTTGTAGTTCTGCTATGATTATTGTCTCTCTACTTCTAGCCATGGTGGTGCTGCTTCCACAGAGGTTCAGGACTTCAGATTGTGCTAAAAATGAGCCCACAGTGAGTAAAAATGTGACAGGAGCAAAAAAGAACTATGGTTGTGAGGGTAAAGCAGTCCAACATGCAGCACGACTGCAGTCTAATGTTTCTCCTTATTCACAGCGACACTCGTTCATTTTAAGCACATGAAGAATTCACATACAGATATAAAGTGAAACACTGAGACTGTAGCAGTAACTCAGGGACAAACTCAATAGTCATGAATGCCGGCTTGTTTTAACGCCTCTGTTCACAGCTGTCTCTCAGGCTCACAGCTGTTACGCTACCAGAGAAAAACCTAATAAAAATTAGCGTCAGAGACAAACAATAACAGTTTTGAGACTGTGAGAGTGTAGATCTGGAGCCCGGTGCAGATCAGGTCTTTGGGTCCAAAAACCTTTTGCATGCAGTAAGTGTCAGTGCTGTGAGCGTACCTGTGCCTGCATGTAGCCCAGCAGCGGCTCCAGCAGAGCCGTCTTCTTCTTGTACTGCAGTGTGTTCAGAGAGCAGAAGTAGTGCATCATGGTCTGGTGCTGCTTCTTGCGAGAGGTGTAGACGTCCTCCACCACCTCCGCCCTCACCTGGAACACACAAGACTCTGCTCTTATTTCAGGAAGACGCCACATAATATTACTCACAGAGATAATAGAATTTGAGGCAGATAATGGAAAACTTTCACACTGGCATGCTATCCGTCCTCCTTTCAGGAAGCTGCTGGGTTGGGAAACCTGAACCTTGATGCAGATACAAGACAGTTTTTAAACCAGCGTCCCTCGTAAATGCATCTCCACAAATGTATCACTTCCTGTAACTTCTCTAAAAACACTGCAGGCCAGTTGATCATTATTTGAGTCTCAGCAGACTGAACAGCAGCAGCATCTGTGTCTTGTTTTCACCTCATCAGTCTGTGTGCCATCGTGGCTAAATGTGGTCCTGAAGACACCTACTGGACTACAGCACTACCACAAAGATGCTGTTCATACTTTCAGCTGTTTCTCCTGCAGGAACTTGTAGCCCGAGTTGTGCATGCTCCAACCACAAGAACCATCCCTGCAGAACGTCTTTACTCATTCCAGATGAGGTACTTCTGTGATGTGGAGCTCAACATTGATTGGTTCAACTCAAAGAAGACAACAAGCACCATTTTTTTCTGCCCTCTTGATGTCCTCCTCCAGTAGCAGAGTCCTCCTCTAACATCACCATGAACAATTTTACATTTATTTGTCGACACAACTGTGCAAAACGCAGACATGAAGTGTCTCAGGGGGGCAGATAAGATCAAAATGAAATTCATAGATGAGTGTGGTCCCAGAATGTATTGGTGTCGTGCTCACTGTGCAAGATGTTGTCTAGTTTTCATAGAAATAAACTGAAATGGCTGCTCAAAAAAACAATCTGTGGAATAAATCCAAAAATTGAAAGTTAATTGATTAAAACACCTAAAACAGATGAGATGATCTAAAGGTTGGCAATACTTTTTACATTAAACATAACTGCATGACTATAATTTGGAAGAACTGCAGTTCAGAATGGGTGTTTGGCTGCACACAACAGGAAGTCAAGGTAAAGACAACAAATCTGTGTAACCGTATTTGACAGGACTCAAATTATTTCAGTTTTTTTGGTTATTTAATAAATGAAAAATTATATTATGCTTGAGTAAATTAAACCCTAATTACCTAATCATGTTAAAAAAATATTCTCAGTTCATGTTGAGGCTAAAAATTCTGCAAAATTCCTAAAAAAAACCCATAAAACCTGAAGCATCTTTTTGTCAACTGAACATGCAAAATATAAAGATTATCTCCACAGAACTGACAACTAACTCAAAGTTTCAAAGCTGTTTTGAGGGAAATTCCTGGGAAAAGATGGACAGATTCTAGACTTAGAAGTATAGATTAACCAGGAAGTTTCCTGTAAAATCCTGATACTGAAGAACCGACGAATCTACCTGATGTGAGGAGTGTTTGTGCTGCTCGGGTGGTTACCTTGTCGTTGTCTCTCTTCTTGGACAGGCGGCTGTATCTGTTAATGGCTATGTCGTGATCTGCAGACAGAGACACGCAAACAGACTTCTTTTAATGATAAACATATTTCTTTTTATCGAGGAAAAATAAAAAAACTAATCAAGCACAGCTCAACCTCAATAACCAGGGCAGAGGAAGTCACACTGATGCATTTAAACATCCTGCTTATCTTGGTTTGAATCCGGACAGGTTGCCCTCCTCACATACGTATTAATGTAAATACAAATATTAGCAAGAAGAATGTTAATCGACAAATAAATAACTATATAAAAATACTAAATATTTTTATCTTCAAGTTTTTCAGATGTGAAGATTTACACATTTTTCTATCATTATTCTAAACTTTTAACAAGTAGTCCAGAGACATTAACTGACTGAATATAAGCAGAAGATTTACACTGGCTCCATGTAAATAACAAAAAACAAGCAAACTTGCAAAACAATCTTAACCTTTTGGGCAATTCAGGTTTCTAATTCCATCGTATTTAACTTGCAGCTGATGATTTTTAAAGTTGATTTTTCAACTTTAATGCACTTTTTTGAAAACAGCTAAATCAATACAGACTCTGAGCTTCATGAACTCACCATCACTGGCTATCTGGAAGACTTCTTTGAGCGTGAGGATCTCTGGAGACACATAAAGAGAACTGCATGTTACAATGCACGTGATGTTTTGCTTTTTCTGTGCTGTTACTACAACAAATGTTTGTGTGTTCCTTCCCTCTGGTTGGGTATTTCATCAAAAATCACAGTAGTCTACA